CCCGATGCGGGACTCGATCCAGGGACTCCAGGATCATGACCTGAGCCGAAGGCAGTCGCTTAACCAACTGAGCCACCCAGGCGCCCCTGTTGTTGTTTTATTTTTAACGGCAACTAGATGACATCTATAACAAAAAGGGAAAAAGAACAGTAGAATTGTAGTTTCAAGAAGGAAATAGGCAATTTTGGAAAAATGAGAGAAAATTATAATGATGCCCACAGTAGCCTTCATCCAGCTTCAGTGATCATCCCCTGAATTATTCTGAAACAATCCTGGACAATTTCATCTTTAAATATTTGTTTGTGTCACAAAAAGATAAGGATTGATTTTTTTTCCCTGTACATTTACTTCCTCCGCCTCCCTCCCCACTTCTTCTTAATCTGATTTATTAGAGGTTTATCATTTTCATTCCTCATTTCAACCCACCGAGCCACCTGGGCACCCCTCTCCAGAATTTTCTTCTCTACCTCTTGTCACATCCTTACACGGGGATATGCACACCTATGTTTCAACTGCCATCCCCAGGCTGATAACCCCTAATGGGTCGTCAAGTTCCAGAACTAAGTTCTGTCTATTATATGGGCTGTAGATACCTTAAACTGAACCCAAACCAGTATTTACTTACTAGCTTCTTCCTCACCAGGCTTGTGATTCTGCCCATATTTTATATCTTACTTAATGGCATCATGGACTACTGTTCTCCCTAGCTGGAAACATGATTTTTTCTTTGACCTGTCTCTCATGAATCCCTCACATTCCACCAGTTTCTCTAATCTGGCTACATCTTTATATCTTTGTGTCTTTATCTATTAAAGTTTAAAGGAGACATAAATCTTTCAGCCCTGAATCCTACTCTTAAGGACCTGTTGCGTAGATATAAAAGCATCAATATATAAGAATGCAATAATATAAATTGTCGTGGCATGCTTTTACTCTCTCGGTCCTTCTGCTACACTAGTCCCCAAGGGTCCAAGGTCTAACCAATAGGTGATTCCATGGCAGCTGGCAGCCCTCACAGCAACAGGGCTCTGATACAGGAGTGGGCAAGGGTGGGAGCTCATTCCCATGACTACCAGAAGTGATGGCTACTGAGGCTTGCAGTTTCTGAGAGAGAAAGGAATTGTCCTGGACACAGAAGGGAGATACTAGCCCAGGGACAGCCTGCATTCCACAGCAAACTGAGCTCTCTTGCTCCATTCAAGATTCCTCCAGATCTGGAGCTCCTGGTGGGGTTGTCTAATGTTTCTTTTGTTGCAACTACATCTCAGTTCAACTTCTGTTCAAATCTGTTTCCCTCAAACACTGGCAGGTGTGACTGCTGCACATACTCACCAATAAACTCTCCACATACAATTCTCTGTCTCAGAGTCGCTGTCCCAGGGAGTCCAAATTAATACTTGTGTAATTGCATACATATCATTTGTCATGTGCCGAGAACTCTTTTTAAGTGCTTTGCATCTCTAAACTCATGTAATCTTTACAAAATTCTTACGTAGTAGGAAGGATTCTTATCTTTAAGATCACAAAGCTGGGGCACCTGGGTGGCTTAGTCGTTAAGCGTCTGCCTTCGGCTCAGGTCATGATCCCAGGGTCCTGGGATCGAGCCCCACATCGGGCTCCCTGCTCGGTGG